AACCTACTCGCAAAGCCTCGTCAATAACGACATAAAAGTAACATCGTTACTTACGTGTAACTATTCACAGTGCCACAAAATATCACTAACGAAGTTCTTGGGAATAGAATTCTCGTACAGAATAAGAATACCTCTTGGAGTTCCAGTCCAAAGATTTCGAAAATTATTCTTTCGGATTTATTTTAAAAAACTTTTACGTCAAATTTTTTTTTTTTTGAATTTTATCAAATTCAATACAGACTTTACTCTAAGTAGCCCAAGATACCCCTTCGATTAGGTACAGCAACGTTCAGAACTCTCCTCAAACACATTGACGGCATGTCAAAATGACTAATGCCTGCTCAATTACTTCCGTCAGAAAAATCGCTGAAATCGCAGCACAATTAGCAGACGAAACGAACTTTAGGATCGCAGCAGGCTGACTCTTCCAAGTGATGAAACAGATCATAGCAAGAGGAAATGCTGCCGGCTGCGCAAAGGAACTAAGTATTTCACGTATGTATTAGATTTAACAAATTTTAGATGTATAAAAAATTACCTTTCGAAGTGTTGAGTATTTATCAATACCCAATTGCACATTGGCAGCATGAATTCGATCGTGCTCCGACTGCCGCTCTTCAACTTTCAGACTTTCAATTTCATTTCGAAATTCGTTCATCTTCTCCTGCAGGCTCTTTTTCTTCTCGTTATAATCAGCTCTAGAAATACTGTAAAATCAGCAAGACAGCAACGCCTTGAAGTGAATCAAATATATTTCCAGATGCGCCAGACCCTAAAGAAAACTGGAAAATTTTAAAACAGAAAGACTCAGCGGAATCAGGCTAAGACTCAGGCTTTACTTATTAACTCAGCAGAATTAATAAATAAAGTGTTGCTACCAAACAGTAGACAACTACTGCGCAACTGATAGCAATGATTTAGCTTATCTAAAAATGAAATGCTGCAGGACTTCGATACACGAATTAAGCAAGTAAACAAGAAAATTAAAGCATCGAAAACGAAAATGATGCAGGGTGCTAGTATACTCCGGGCCAGATTTCAGAAAGATGGCGTTGATGCGAAAGAATTTAGCACGTGCACCCATTTGGTCAAAAAATGAATATGTGCCACAATCTCCAGACGGAGACAATGTGTTCAAAGAGAGCCGGCTGGCTCAAAATTCACAGCAGTATCGGTGTCCTCAGTGGGTAGCAAATTGGAAGGATCACATCTACTTTCATTACAACTATGCCAAAATGGATGATGTGCGGATACAAACGCCACCTATCTTAAAACAGAATGCTGATAGTGGAGCAAATGATGGCTGAAGTGTCTTTGAGCCTATAAAAGCAACCAGACTCTCCGTAAGATGAGCGGCTTGCAAGATGTCATTGAGATCGAGCAAACAGTGAAACTCGGCTGAGCAGTATATGTTACTGTTTTAGCTGACAACCGGTGAACATCGTTACGAGGAAGCGAACGATTACTCCGGCGACTTCCAGAGCTCAAGATCGAATGGCCTGGTATGGCTAAAACCAGTGCGCAGGAGCATCTCTCAATAACGCCTAGCCAGTGCCGAATTGCTGGTGTTTATTAAACAGTTACTTGTCGAAGTACTAAGTTATTGTGTCAAGTTTATGAATCTGAAAAAATTGGCAAATAAATACAATAAAAAAAAAATCTGAAAAACCTGGATTTCTCGATTTCCGATCGCAATGCCACAAGATCAGTAGGGATCATCTGATTACTGGATGGATCAGGAGGCGGATAGTTTATGCCGGTTGGTTTTCGCAAAAAAGGCGATAGCGATAATGACGGTGATTGGGCTTTGACCAGTGGTGCAATGGCTGCTGCATAGCTGGCTTCGTCATCCGGATACTGCACATAACCGTTACCTTCCCCGCAGCTTGACGACGACAACAGACGCTGATGGCTCATATATCGTGGAGTAACTGGCAGGCCGCATGCTGGTAGTCCCCAATCCTGAAATATGGAAAAGTTTAAAAAACCTGCATCATGAGGAAACGTTTCTTAAAATGCGACTCGTTAGCGATAGTATTAATCGAAGAGACGAGATTCTGTGCAAGCAAAAATTATGAACACAGCTGAGATTTTGCGCGGTGTGTAGAGGCATACTTTTACCTGCTGCTTACCCAGTACTAGACGGTGTCTATGGAAAAATGAATGACCTACTTCGGAGAAACAAAACAGCTAACTAAGATGAAATCTCTTCGAGATGCAGGCTTTTAAACCTTTCCATATTTCAGGACTGGAGGGTTACCAGTCAAACAAAATGCACCATAAAAAAAAAGACGCATGGCGAGAGAGTTTACCGAAAAAAGTAGCCTAAATTACGAGGAAAATACAAAATTGCACCAGAAAACAATTAGTACTAGCAATACTAAACTTAGATGTAAAATCAATTGGAGAACTGGAAGAGCTGCCACCAACAAAAGCCGAAATGCGACCGAGAATGTCAAATCAAGCCGTACCTATTTTTAACTGTATGCGGGCCGCCATCCGTACGGTACTCTTTAGGATGGCCTAGAAGCTAGCAGAACCAAGAAACAGACCATCATTTCATAAAATTTAGCTAGAAAAATTAATGGTCACGTTCCTTCTGGCGTTCACTGCTATGCCCCTACATAAACATACACTTCTATACCGAACATTAAGCCCAAAGCTCGCTCATTTTCAGCAGTTTTTAGTAAGTTTTGCTTGTTCTTCTGTTACTTTTAACACTGAAGGAGTAAAGGTTAAAACCAACGCGAAGTGTTTAGGCAAACAATACTCATTTGTCTTGGGCGAATCGATTTGTTAAGCAAAAAAAAAGACCTAAACCTTTCCTCACTTAAGACAACAGACTGTGGCAACCATATCTGCGTTTTTCTCAAGTCCCCTGTTTCGCTGATTTGTGTTGAAAGACAACTACTACAAATACACCATCCAAACATTATCAGAAACCACTAGCACCACCTGGGGAATTGATGCAAAAGCCTAATGTTAATGTCACAGCTGGAAAGCCCACACGCCAAGCACAGCAACGCTGGAACCT